GGGAATTTCAGCCAGAACCTCCTTTCCACTACTTATCCAATTTTCCTTACATAGAAATTCAATTTTCATTACATGGAAATCCAGTTTTCCAATCTTGAATCTAAATGAAGTCGTAAGAACTACTTTAAGACTAAACCTATAGGCAACTTTTAATGGAAGTCATAAGACCTATCCAAACAAAACCTACAGGCTACTTCTAATGGAAGCAGTAAGACCTAGTTCTTAAAAATTCATCCTACTTTTAATAGAAGCAGTATGACTCACTTCTTAAATAAATTGGGCTACTTCTAAATTAAAGTAAGACCCACTTTTTAAACAAATTGAGCAATTTCTAATAAAAGTAGTAGTACCCACATACTAGGAAAACTTTTAGGTAAAGCCGTAAACCTAAAATTACATGTTACTTCTAAATGCAGAAATGGTAAGACCTACCCCAATAAGTAGGCCACTTCCAATGAAAGCCATAAGAACTACCATACAGAAAACTACTAAGGGAAGTCATAAGACCTATCCAAATAAAATTAACAGACACATCGAAGTTATAAGACCTATCCAAACTAAATTAACAGGCAACTTTTAAGGGAAGTTGTAAGAATTATCCAAACAAAATCAACGAGAAACTTTCAAGGGAAGCTGTATGATGAGGACATCGTCAGCAATTTCGACACGTTACCATCGGAGACACCGGAGATCGACGACCACGATCAGGAGTTTTATTTTTAAGTCATTTTATGTAGTAGTTTATTTTATTTTTCAGTTTTTCCATTTTTACCCTTATGGGTATTTGGTCGCTATTGTAGCACAAGGGGCATTTTAGTCTTTTGTTTCCTTTGTCATTTTGAGGCCTATATATATGGTCATTTCTTATGTAATGAGGATGATGAATATTTTGAATGAAAATTATGTTTTGTTTCCACTTCTTCTTTCATGAGAGCCAGAGAAGGAAGAGAGCTCAAGGGGAGCAAATCGCAAGGCCCACCAGTCGTTGGAAGAGTCCGCGGCTCATGGTTAAGTTTATTCTATCTTCTCGTTTGTGTTTTTCCTCATCCACTTAACCTAAACCTTCATCCCGTTTGCCATCAATCCGAGCCCCGAATTCCCATCCCGTCCACCTTGGGATCCAACCCACCGGCTCCTCTTTAGCCGCCGGCCGATTCCCCTCCACCACCCCGTCCCCCATCTCCAACCACCGCCCCCTTCACCTTTTCCCCCTCATGTGTCAAATTTTGAAATTCCATTTAATTGAGTTTCACAATTTCCAAATTTGACCAACTCCAAATTAGGAAAGTTTTCAAATCTAAATCAATTTGAAATTCAAATTGAAGCGGATTTTACAATTAATTTCCTAATGCGTGTTCGTTGATTTGGAAAGCTAATGAGTTGCTCCCAAACCTCCTCCCTCCCTCTTGAACCCGCCGGCCATGCATGGGATTTTCTCCCATTAATTCTCCACTTAATACATTAATGGCTCCTTAATTTGAAATCAAATTTCAAATTAATTTCCCCCTATTTTCATTCAAAATCTTGAGATTAATTTCAGGTTTTGAATTAACCCCCTTCTCCCTCCTCTAATGAACCCGCCGGCCTCACCATGAATGGAGCCCCATTCAAGCCCCCAATTAATGCATTGATTACACATTAATTTGAAATCAATTTCAAATTAATCTGCCCCCTATTTCAAATAACTCCCTCCCCTCTCTCTAGAATCCGCCGACCCCCTCTTGAAGGGCCCCATATAATGCCCATTACTCCCCCTTATCTCTATTTGAAATTTGAAATCAATTTCAAATTGATTCCCTCCTAATTTACTCAAATTCTGAAGTTAATTTCAGATTTGAGTAAATCTCATTCTCTCCCCCACCTAACCTAAATTCCCTCACCCAAGTCGCTCACCCCCTCTCTCTACCTTGGCCGCCTCCCTCATTTCTCCCTCCCTTGTGCATTTGGAAGCCAAGAGAAGAAGAAGATGACGCCCTTCCACCTCCATTTCAAAGACGTATGGCCGACCCGAACATCGATCAGAGATTAGTCTTTGATTCCCAAGGACGTGTGGACGTTCGGAGATCGTCTTTCGTGACGTCAACATAGAGAATTCCAAGACCATGATTAGATCATCCACGGTCAGCCCCCTCCACCAACTCCGACTACTTTCCTGTGGACAAAGACCTCCGGCATCGTTTTCCTAGTGGTGATCTTGATTATAGCGTGCAAAATCTTCTCTCGCCAAAGCCTAGTGTAGTTGAGTGATCAATCCCCGAGGTGAAAACTCTCATTATTAAATTGTGGATTGTTGGTTAATAGCTCTTTGTATTGCTACTATTTTTGTTTATCTACAAGATTTGGTTAACCTACATGTGCTCCTTCACCTAAGCAAGTGGAAAACTAAGATTCTTTAATGAATTTGCTTGTTATTTCAATAAGTTATTTATTGAGATTTCATTGTTAATTATTCTTAAATTTCTTATCAACTCCTTTTGCATGTGATATCACATCACTATAAGCCCCATTTTAAATCAAAACCCACAGGAAACTTCCGAGGGAAGCCCTAAGCCTCGTTTTAAACAAAACCTCTGGGTAACTTTAAAACGAAGCCACAAACCTCGTCCTAAACTAAACTAATGTATAACGTCTAAATGAAGTCATAAGCCACGAACTAAATCAAAGCATGGGCAACTTTTAAACGAAGCCATGAGCCCTTAATCAATTCAAATAACTGACCAACTTCTAAACCTCGAACTAAGTCCAAACAATTGTGCAGCTTCTAAATGAAGTCGTAAGCCCCAAACTAAATCAATTATTGGGTATTCTAATAGATGTAAACTCCAAATCATAATAAAACTAAAATATAAATTTAACCACTTCAATTTACTCGGGATTTTTGAGAAGAGGCAATCCATGACTGCTAATAAGATTTCTTAAACACTACAATCGATGATTGCTAGTGTTGGTAAATCGAAACTTACGGTATTCTCGGGACGACGGAACTATGGGATATTGATTGGGTTTACCTTCATCCCCACAAACGAGACTAAAATATTTAAAACTTTTCATCCTTAATCAAGAGTTTTCTCTTACAAAGTAAAAGAGGTAATTAACTATGAGGGTGTAGAGTGTAAAGGTACAATCAGAGGGCTTGCGCCATAGGAAGTAAGGACTCAGATCTAACTAAACCCTCATGCAATCTTCAGGGGAAATCTGGTTAACTATAATTTGCCTTAAGGAGAATGAAATCCTAAGTCTGCAAAGCATGATTCATGCAGAAGCGCCATTTTTCTTGAGCAAACAATCATGTGATATGAAGATGGTTTTTTTATTATGTTTTGTGTATGCTAATTTGTTTGTAATTATGATTCAAATATATAAGTTTCGTTGTTAGCCAGAATGATCATAATGATTTATATCAGTTCTTTTGGGTTATAAACATTATAATCTTTGTAAATGAAAGTTAATGATTCTTCTATCTTCTCTGTATTTTTTAATGCTTATAGGAGCTCTGTGTATGTAATTGGAAATGAGGAACGGATGTTGATACTATATTAAGGGGAGCAAATATTATAGAAGTTATGAATGCATGTATATTAGACGAGTAAAATTATATTCTTCTCAACTATCTGCACCAATTTGGAGTGATCTACTATAGTGTAAGTGTTACATTGGGTTGGAGTGTAACAAGATTTATCACAAGGCCCAACTCCATCTCAAGGCACATCCCACCATTATCACTTCTGATCAATCTTTCCTCTTGTTGTCAATATTGTACTGTTGTCCCTTTAATATGGGTAAAAGGAGACAAGACTTGTAACTTCATGTTACTTTTAGTGGAAGTTCATCTAGGATAGCAGCGTGGTTTTTGATATCTAGGTTTTCATTAAAAAAAATCATCTCTTGATGTTCGTGTTTTTGCATATTCTATATCCAAGACAACCACAACGCTCATCACACTTCTATTCCGCAGGATTTTAACCAGCACAGAATAATTGTATATTGAAGGAATAGTGTGGTTCACCTGATTTGATTGTTTTTTAATATATTAATTTGATTTTGTTTGGTAAAGCTGTTTTCTTCTTATGATTGATGAAATAGTGAATTTTTCTGCATATTAAAAAAAAGAAAACGCATTCATTTACTTAAACAAGTTGATGCTTCAAGTTCTAAAATTCACCAATATTAAATGAGTAGATACTTGGCCATGGAAATTCTTCGTCAACGGTTAGAAGCAAATTGTTTCGGGAGAATACTGATTTGAAATTTTTGCCTGCCTTCATATATATTTTTAATACATACAATGCGACTTCTCTGTTTCTTTCATCCTCTTAAATGCCTTCTGCTCTCATAAGTGACGACCTAGGTCGTTAGCAAGAACCCAATGAATTTTTCTAGTTGTACTTTTTTGAACCTTGATATCTTGGGTCTGTTGTTTAGAGTGTACTCATTTTAGATATATTGGGTCTATTGTTCGGAGTGATGGTGAAATAGATGGGGATATTGTTAGTGGAATTCAAGTTGGGTGGTTGAAGTGAATGAATGCTTTGGGTTTGTTGTGTGATAGAAAATTGCCATTCAAACTTAAGGGAAAATTTTATAAGATGGTGGTGAGACCTGCATTGCTTTATGGCGCGGAATGTTGGCCATTAAAAGAGATATATAAGATTAAAGAGAGTCACCTTAGATGGTTTGGTCATGTAAAACGACGGCCTTTTGATGACCCTGTTAGGAGAGTAGATGTATTGGATTTGACCTATATTAAGAAAGGTAGAGGTAGACCTAAAAAGACTTTGTTAGAAAATATTAGAAATGACATTTCTTTATTAGATTTAAACGAGACTTTGACTCAGAACAAGGCACAATAGAGAAAATGGATTCATATAGCCGACCACACGTAGGGGGATAAATGCTTGATTTTGTTTTTGTACTTTTCTGAACCTTGAAGTAACGTGTCTATCTCACTGATGCTGCCGTATGCTTTTCGTCTTTGCATGATGAGGTTTCAAGTCCTGCAGGTCTGCAACTGTATTGGAGCAGTTCAATCTACAGAATTTTGTGGCTTCACTTAAGGAGACTTCATCAAATAATCTTGAGGACATGTCGTTACCTATGACCATAGCAAGGAATATCATTGAGTTCCTCTCTCTGGGCTGTGGTTCAGAGCTCTTGATTAGTCCGGAGTCTTCTTTACTTTTTGAAATTTACAATGACAGAAAGGGGAGCCGTGGCAAAGCAGTTTTTCTTCACAAGGCAAGTTATATCTTACATGAAGTCCAATTAACTTATAAGTTTTCTTAGAATTTTATGCTGATTTTTATATTTTTAGTTGATAATCTGAGTTGCATTCAGGTTCACGCAATAATTGAAGCTAATGCTCTATATGTGATTTTAGGGTGGTTAAATTAAAGTGATTCCTTAGGAGTGAGATAAAAATTATCAGGGCTTTAAGATAATGGATTTTTCATTCTCAGTTTTAATAAAAATAAAATCAATGACAGCTGAGTTAAGTAGACAAAATCATCAATGTTAAGATGGTTGTGTAAACCATAGGCCGAAGTCCCAAATGATTTAATTAGGGAGACCTTCAGATATTATTGTTTGAAGATGAGATTGTAGGAATGACTTTGGTGGCTTGAGCTTCAATGGGTTGAACGTTCAGCAATAAGGCAGGGAGAAAAAAATTTGTGCAAATAAAAAAGGTCCAACCAAAATTGACTTGGGTTGAATTTGAGGAAAAAGTTCCACATGAACGCATGTAAGGACCAAATAGAAATAAATAAAGAAAAGATTCAAATTTGAACCCACATATTTTGAATAAGGCTACTGATGATAATGATGGATAGGAGCTCCACAGTATTGCTTGATGTTAAGGGCTGCTTCTGTTATCAATTTAATTGGCAGGATGTAAGTTGCCTAATCTTCAATTTAATTGATCTCAATTCTGTTGGATCTAAGTTATCTGTGTGCTGTGCCTGACCCTACTAACAAGTTGGGCTAGCTGGAGCAAGAGAACATGATGACAAAACCTGCAAGTATGAAAAATAGATGGAGAGCTTAATGGAGATCGTCTAATTTCTGTGAACAATAGTAATGACATGAAGACCAATCCTTTTAACCCCTTATTTATACGATTAAAAAGGCTTCACCTAAAAAAAGGAAAATAATTCATGATTTTATAAGTACAACTGACACGGAAATGAGGGTACATATGCAGCCATCTACCTCTAACATATCTTGGCATGTAATTGTTGAACTCTGTATAAGTGCTATGATCAATACAAGTAAGGGTGAAAGAAAGACGACCAACAAACATCAAGTTGCACGTTGCGAGTATCTAAGTGCCTTTACCATGATTGAAACTACTTAAATATTGTTCACTTGCAAAACGGACTACATTGACATGTCCAGGACTCGAAGTTACGAAAGAAGCACTGGTTGCTTAAAAACCAGCTCGATCAAGAGACAAAAGTGATCGTTGGAGGGTGCAATGCAGTGCAAACATACCCAAATAACGATCGATTATGAAACATACTTTGCTCGTGTTTGAAACATAAAAAATTCCTAAGGAGACCTCTCACACACAAGTCAAGCGAAGAAGGTCGAAGACAATGATCTCAGGCATGATGTTGTGTGTTTTCATGAACATCTCCTATTCACAAAACAAACTTTTCCATTGCATCTGATACATTAAAAATGCCTAGAAATTAATATAATATTGTTCGGGGTGGCCCGAGAGTTGAAGAGACAAAAATTATCGGCGAGCAATTCGATGGCACGTAAATAGAGATACATGTAAAATGAAGAATCCAACCATTCGATTTAATTAATGTCTCTATTTTATTTTATTAAATTTTATATAAATTTAATATAAAAAATCAAAATATAAAAAAAAAATCTTATGTCTTCAGAAAAATTGGCTGCTCGTGCCTTTTCCCCAGATAAAATTAGGGGCGGAACCAGCTTCAATTTTGAGGGGGGGCAAATACAACAAAAAAATAATTAAATATTAAAAAAATAATATTATATATCTATATATTAAGAAAAGTTTTTTGAAAAAAATTAAGCAAGAAAAACAAAGAAAAAAAGTGTAATTAAACTGTCTTGAAATGCATTAAATAGAATATTGAAACTAAATGTGAAAAAATATATAGATATTTTAGGTCAAGATAGGACAAAAGAGTTTTTTCTGGGGGGCAAAAAAAAAATTTAGGAGGGGCAAAAATTTTTTTTTGCTCTGCTATAATTTTTTTTTTTCACTCCTATAAAAAATTTTTTTTTTTTTGAGGGGGGGGCAATTGCCCCCCCTAAGCCTCATGCAGTTCCGCCCCTGGATAAAATTATACTCATATCCTATGCTAGCTCCCTGATCTTGTCCATATCTTTGCACTAACCAATTCCCCATTTCTCTTACCCATTCATTTTCGCACATCTAACTCTCCTCCACCCGAAACTTCTTCACTTGGTCGCAAGTTCTGTCCCGCACTCATCTCCTATTCCTCCCCCATTGGTGAAACCTATGATGCACCGACACTTCTCCTCAAAGAGGCATGCAGTGTCCGACACCGTGTCCGACACGACACTCGCCCGACACGTGTCGGACACGCCGAAAATGTGTCTGATTAATAAATATTAAATAAAAATTGGACACGCGTGTCAGTGTATCTTAAATATTTTATGAATTTTTTTAAATATAATTTCTTGTATTTGACGGGATTTAAAATAAATTTCTTATTTCCTATCCATGACACCAAATCAACATCTACACTTAATACCCATTCATCGAATATTCTCATTTTTATTTCTTTTTGGTAGTGAAGGTATTTTCATCTCCTCTCTGGATGACTAATAAACGACATCGATGCCTGACTCTCGACATCATAATACTAATCATTTTAAGCACAAATTCTAGTTAAATGGCTTATTCTTTTCAAATTATTTTTAAAATTATACTTATTTAATTTGTATACACTATTTTTTAAATAGAAAAACTATAATAACGTGTCCAACCCGTGTCCGTGTCTTATATTTTCAATAACTGACGTGTCCCGTGTCCGTGTCGTGCGTATCCGTGTCGTCGTGTTCGTGTCTGTGCATCATAGGGTGAAACCCAAGCTCCACATCACCCCCCTTTGTGTGCAACAGATGGAACCCAACTCTTCTTGCCTTTTATCTCCCCCTTCAAATACAACTCAGTTGCTACCTCTCCTTTATCCTCCTCTACAGGGTTGTTTGGTAACAAGTATGATTTAACTTTAGTAGGATTTACTTAATATTGTGAATCCGGATTTAGCAAATCCTAGGTATGTTAAATCTTAAAATTATTTGGCAAGATAGTTGTTAAATCCTATTAAATCCTGTGAAATTGTTTAACAACATTATCCAGGATTTAAGGCGGTTAGTTTATTTAAAATTTAATTTTAATGCATTTTGAATTTAATTTATATGCTAAGTACAAATTACTTATTAATTTCAATTTTAGTTACTGTCAATAAGTTATAATGATAACTAATATTATTAGAAGCTAGCTTAATTATCAACTAATTAAATAATTATTTAGTTAATCAACTAATTAAATAATTATTTAGTTAATAATTATACTACTAATTATCAAAATACTTATTTTAATGATAGTTTAATTAGTATTTGATATCTAATTATATTGATAATTCTTTCAATTAATTAGTTAATTATTTTTTGAAATAACTAATTATTTAACTAATAATCCTAGTAATAGTTTAATTAATTATTTAAGTGTTATTAGTTAGTTTTAATTATTAATTATACCATTAATTATATCATTAGTCACTTTAGTATTCTACTACTCATTAATTATTTAATTGTTATTTACACTATTAATTATAAATTATTAATATTTTTTAATTAATTATATATTAATTAAGTATTCTATTACTAACTACTTTTTCAATTATAATTTATATGGTTAATTCTCTAATTAATTATTTATAGTTCAAATTATATTAATTATTTATTCGATTAATTTCTAACTAAGAAAATAGGAATTAATTTAATTTCTGCGCAATATCTTAGGAGGCGTCTAGGGTTTTGTTTTCCTCTTCTCTATTTCCTTGTCATTGTTAAACGACGTTGCTTCGTGTGAGGTAGAGTTTTGCATGAGTCACTTCTTCAACTCCTTCATTACAATGAGTTGCTCATTCGGCTCTTTCGACGATGTTATTCTTATTAGATTGGAAGTATTGTTCGGAGCTTGCTCATTGTGAAGGTAGCTTTACCTTTCTCTCTTTCGTGCGCTACTTCAGATGAATTCTATAAATCTGTTGAATTTTATGATTTAGTAAATTTGAGATTGTGTGCAAAAAGAGTGAAATGGAGGATTTATCTGGTGCTCAAATCCCATTTGACGGGATTTAGCATAAATCTTGCTCATTTCCTGCATAAATCCTGTTCAATCCTGTTGCGAAATAACTCGTGCGAAAATCTCCAGCTCCCAAGCATACATGTAAGATATGTTGTATGCAATGATAAAAATAAGGATGAAAATGAGAAAAGAAAAGAAAAGAGAATAAAGGAAAAGGTATTGAAAATGACAGGAGTTCACCCCCTTATGGTACTGGCTGGGGACGTCGTACTCGTGCACGAAAAAGGAAAAGGAAAATGCTATGGAAATGGAAAAGGAAATCAAATGGAAAAGGTTGTACCTTTGAGTACTTTGAGACGGTGCTCCTGTGCAAATCAAATGGAAAAATGAAATATTAAAGATAACAAATGTTTTAAATTGTTTTAAATGAAAATATCGGAAGAAGTATAAATCAATTAAATGAAAGAAATAAGATTAAGAAAGGATATAATATATATTAATTTATATTTATAATGATTATTTAAATACTTACCCACTGAGTTTACTTAGTAAACTCAACCTACAAGTTTAAATGTTTCAGGTAAGTTCCTAAAGAAGAAATGACTGAAAGAGAAGAAATGACTGAAAGAGAAGAACATGTTTACAGAAGGCGACGTGCAAATGAAAACAGATAATTTACATTTGTGTTTAGTGGCTCTTTAGCACAAATGAAGTAGTATATTGTTTAAGAAATTTTATCGTCTGACTTTTCGTACCCGCCTCGTTAGATCGAGTAATCGGAGGGGATGCGGTGGTGTCTTCTAAGCTCCCTCATGTATCACCTGTTTTTAGGAGTGAGTAATATAAACTAGTTTAATATAATACGAGATAAAAAAGATTAGTGCAAAAGAAATAAAAGTTTTTGTGTTATATA